CATATAGTTTACAGAAAATATCATTAACCAATGTATATATCCTAAAGTCAGTGGGAACGAATACATTTTTCTAGTCATATATATTGATGACATTTTACTTGCAAGTAGTGGTTTGGGATTGCTATATGACACAAAACAATTTATTAGGCAAAACTTTGAAATGAAGGATATGAGTGAAGCCTCTTATGTCATTGGCATAGAGATTTACAGAGACATGTCTAAAAGGTCATTAGGATTGTCTCAGAAAGCCTACGTTGAAAAGGTTTTGGAAAGATTCAGGATGAAAGACTGTGCATCAAGTGTAGCACCCATCGTTACAAGTGATAAATTCAATCAGAATCAATGTGCATTAAAAGAATTAGAAAGAGAGCACATGGCTTCTATACCATATACTTCCGCCGTTGGCAGTTTGATGTATGCACAAGTCTGTACTAGACCCGACATTGCATTTGCAGTTGGTGTATTAGGCAGATATCAAAGCAATCCAGATATAGAACATTGGAAAGCTGCCAAGAAAGTGATGAGGTATCTACAAGAAACCAAAGACTACAAACTCACATACAAGCATTCCGATAATCTTGAAGTTGTTGGATATAAGGATTCAGATTTTGCAGAATGTGTAGACAGAAGAAAATCTACTTCAGGATACATTTTTCTTCTAGATGAAGGAGTTGTATCTTGGAGAAGTAGCAAGCAGACTATAATTACATCGTCTACCATGGAAGCAGAATTCATTGATTGCTATGAAGCTACAACACATGCATTATGGTTGAGAAATTTTGTCAAAGGCTTAAGAGTTGTCCAGAATATAGAAAAGCCTTTAAAGATTTATTGCGATAATTCGACTGCAATTTTCTTTTCAAGAAATAACAAAAGTGGAAGATGAAGCAAACATATCGACATAAAGTATCTAGTTGTCAGAGATCATATAAAGAGAAATGAAGTGTCCATTAAGCAAATCAAGATAAATCTGAAGATTATGGATCCCATGACTAAGGGCTTGTCAGCTAAAGTTTATAAAGCTCATGTTAAAAATATAGGACTTGTGTGCTCTAATGTTTGGTTTTAAGATTGTTGTTTTATTTTGAAACAATGTTATTAGTGTACTTAAAGTTTGTAATTTGGATATCCATTGTGGTTATTATAATTTGGACCCTGAATGACTTATAGGAAGTTCATTCGTAAAGTAAAGTACTCTCTAAAGATGATCATACTTGTAATACATGGAAGGAAATGTTTAAATATTAAAACATGATCGCCATGATTCAAATATTGTGAATTTCTACTTGAGTAGGTTATTAACAGTTTCTGCATATGGCCATATTAAGTACCCACTTGAAGTTAACCATTGACCATGTGGACCAAGTGGGAGAATGTAAACCATTTGTGGTCCACATGGTCAATGTAAAGTTAAATAAATTTAAAGTTTAAATAGTGAGTTAATTAACTGCCTAAATAATTTCCCATTTGGTTATTGGAGGGAAGTTATTGCAGAAAAACCACCAACTTCCATGATGGATGGAAGTTGTAGTGATTGTCTTTATATATATATATGCCAAGGGTCCCTAGCCAAACTCGTGTGAAAAATCCCTGCAGATTTTCTCTCTTAATATTGAAAGTCACGTGCTTATTTCCATCAAGTTAAAGGGGTTATTAAGTGGGTATTGGTTAGAAGACGTTTAGTGCTTCGAGTACTCATTTCTACTGCAAATTTTCAATTAAATCTTGGATAACATGGCTGGAGGTATAATTTATGTCTTACAATCTCCGGTTTCGAACGAGTTTTGCAAACTGAAATTCTTCGGAAACTCTAGGAGATGTTTTCAAAATTTGAAAACAAGTTTCCTAACTTTGATTTTTTTGATAAAATTCGGAAACTTCGAGAAAACTTTACCAAGATTTTTAACAAGTGATTAAGATTTCTTTTGCCAATTATATTAAGAGTACAGTAAGTTAGACTACTGAAACTCTATTGAATGATGAAAAGGAACGAAACTCTATTTTGTAGTCTATTCATTTTTGTGCTGATAAAGAAAATTCTGACAAGCTGATATTGGAAACTTACATTCATATGAAAATTTCTGATATAAATTTTGAATTAAATCTTTAGGCTGTAAGTTTCTTGCCATTTTTAAGGGTTTTTTTTTTAATTAAGTTCTACCTTTTATGCCCGCAGATTCTTTAAGATGCACCTCTGCTTTAACAGGTATTCTGGCATTTGTTTTCCTAATCATTACTGTATACATCGATGTGTTTAAATTGGTGAAAGGCTCTATTGGAATGCCCAGATTGCTTCCCGATATTACTGATATTAATTCAGCTTGGAAACTCTTTACCATCGTCCGTGTTCTTTGGCTGCATATGTCTTCCATTTTAATGGTATAGCAATCTTACACACACCTCCCTATGGTACACATTTCCATGAAGAGGTTTGTTTAGCCCCTGTTCAACACATTGTTTCAAAACTAATTTTCAACCATATATTCTTCAATAAAATAATATTTCTCATTACATCAATAATTTTTTTTTACTTTATAACCACGTATTTCCAAGGATTAAACCATATGTACAGAAAAAAAATTTGACAGAAGTTTTACACCCACTCACGTGCGGGGCCCACTAAAATAAAAAATGAAAAAAAAAACCCCATCCACCCCCTACATTGTGAATATCTGGTTTTCTTCTGTGAACCATGCTTCTGTACGTGAAACATGGTTCTATTTTCAATCATATCACTATTTAAAATACATTCTTTCTTCAATAATATCCATCAAACACACTCTTAATGACTAGTATTGTTAGTGTTTTGAAAAATA